AAGCGCCCGCCAAACCCGTCTCCCCCAGCCCCCCGCCGCCCCGGGAAGAGCCCTGCCCTGAGCCGGCTGCCGAGCCTGCTGCTGAGGCCAACGGGGTCTTAGAGGAGGTGCCCGAGCCGGTTCCTGAGGTGCCCGTGTGCCAGCCGGTGCCTGCGCTGGTGCCCGCGCCCGCCCTGGACTCCCCCATCGCCCAGCCCGAAGAGCTGCCCCTGCCCAACGGGGTGGAGGGCACTGGCAAAGCAGAGCCGAGTGAGGAGCAGCCCGAGTCAGATGTCAGCCCCATCTCGGAGCCTGAGGAACCGGCCCAGCCCAGCACTCCTGCCTCCCCCCCGGCAGAGGAGGAGGAGGAAGAGGAGAGCGAAGGCCCGGGTGAGGCCCAGGAGCGGAGCTCAAGCCCGGCCCCTGCCCCTTCGCAGACCTCGGAGGCGACCGCGCAAGGTTGGGGATGCTGGCCTGGGGCGTGCGGGGCCGTGGGGTGCCCCAGGGTGGGTGTTAGGTAACGTGGGGGGGTCACCTGGGTGCGGTGTGAGGCATGGCATATGGGGAGGGTATTGGAGAGGGGCATGGGGTTAGGTGACCAAGGACATGAGGGTATGGGGTGCTGGGGGGGACAAGGTGCCTGCGGATGGCAAGATGGGAAGAGATGTCTGGGGAATGCATCTGTATGCAGGAGTATGGCGTGGGTATAGAGGAGTGTATGTGTCGGGGTGGCCTGCGTCATGGGGAATGGGGTGCCATGAGGGAAGTGTATTTTATGTGATGCCTTATGTGGGGGTGTAGGGTAGGTGAGTTGGGGTTGTATCTGAGGGCTGTCCCCAGCTGTCTGGGGACACGGGGAGGTGCAGGGTGGAGGGGTGGCAGAGGAGATGTGGAGCTGTGGGGCTGTAGCTGTGTGGGGCACCCTGTGTAGGGGTATGCAAGTACATAGGCATGCCTGGGGAAAGTGGGGGGGCCTGGGGGTGTTGTGGGGGAAAAAAATTTTTTTTTTTTTTTTTTTTTTTTTTTAAGCACCCTGCACAGGAGTGTGGGGGTTACATAGGGGTACCGTGGGAGGGTAGGGAAGATGGGTACACAGTATGTGTTCATACCGAGCACCCTGTGCAGGGATACAGGGGGCTATAGGAGGGTGACCTGGGGCCAGTTGTGCTTCTGGGGAGCACCTCTGTATGGGGTGGTGTATAGGGGTGCCAGGGAGGGGAGCATAAGTGGGGGCAGAGGTGTGTGTGGGGATGTCCCCATAAGGGCTGCCCTGCAGAGGGGTGTGGGTGTCTGCAGCGATTCTCCTACAAGGAGGATGGAGAGCGCTGTGCTAGGAAAGAGGTGTGGATGGGGTGCTTCTGAGAGGCACAGGGTAAACTGGGGTGCAGCAGACAGATGGGGAGAGGTGTGAGGTGTGTATGGGATGTACTCTCAGGTGCACGCTTAGGGAGCGGGCTGCCTTGGTGGGCTGTGTGTAGGATCCGCAGGGCTGCAGATGTCCAGGTGGGTACACGGCATCGCTGGGGAGGGGGGCTGTGCTGGGGTGGCAGGACCACATCCCCATGGCTCCCCATGGCCCCATCCTGAAGCTCGCTTGGTGTTATTGGGGCCTCGCTGGTGATCCTGGAGCTGCTGTCAGGGTATGCGGGGGACTGGGAGGGTTCCTGTCCTTCACCTCCCTGCCTCTCCTCCCAGTCGCCATGTCGGTGCCAAAGAAGAAGCGAAGGATGAAGGAGCTGAACAAGAAGGAGGCAGTAGGCGATTTGCTGGATGCCTTTAAAGAGGTGAGTGTCCTAGGGGTGTCCGGGGGTCACCCTGTGTCCCGTCTCCTCCTGTGATGAACTCTGCTTTGTGCCATCGTGTCTGGGCCACTGATGCTTCGTGATGGTAATGAGGATCTGAGGGGGGGGCGGATGCCTGGGTGGAGGGGGCAGGACTAGGCTCACAGGGTGACTGCTGTTCTGTCCCTCCCGATGCAGTCTCAGATCAGTGACAGTGCCTCGGAGGCGGAGAACAAGCCCCCCGCGTCCACCCCTGCCCGCGAAGCAGAGGACGCAGCCCCCACCCGTCCACAGGAAGAGTCTGAGGAGACGTGGGAGGAGAAGGAGGACAAGCTGGCCCCAGAGAAGAGCAAGGCTGCTGACCAGAAGTACCGCTACAAGGAAGGTGAGCCATGCCTTGGCCCAGGCCTCCGCTGGGAGCCACCACCTCTGGACCCAGCAGTGGGGAGGGTGGGGGTGGCATGGCCCGGCTGTCCTAAACCTCACACTCTCCTCCCATCTTGTCCCCAAGCCTGGCACAGGGTGGGGGACAGAGGTCCCAGGGCGAGGGTCCTGTCTACCTCCCACCTTGCTGGTCCCCGTGTGGGCCCGGACCTGCCACAACTCAGGGTGGAGGATACAGGACAGGCCACATCAGGGTCTCCCTCTTGCCCCCCACTGCAGAGCAATGGAAGCCGTTGAACCCTGAGGAGAAGAAGCGATATGACCGTGAGTTCCTGCTGGGTTTCCAGTTCATCTTTGCCAGCATGCAGAAACCCGAGGGACTGCCCCAGATTACAGATGTGGTGCTGGACAAGGTCGGTGCGGCCCTGGAAATTGGGGGAGTGTGGGTGGTGCCTGGGTGGGGGTCTGGCTCCTCTTTGTGCCTTGTCAAGGCAGGGCAGGGACTTACCTGCTGTGCTTGGGGTCCTGTTGCAGCATCTGCAACGAGCCTTGAGCCTGGGGTTGGTGTGGGGGGGCACCTCTGGGGCCTTTTTTCCAGTTCCTTGTCCCGGCGCTGAGGCTGGGGGATGGATCCATCCCGCTCCTCTGCCCCCGGGCATCCTCAGCCCTGTGTACCTTCGCAGGCCAACAAGACCCCACTGCGGGCACTTGACCCTATCCGCCTCAGTGGCATGAACTGCAGCCCTGACTTCACTCCCTCTTTCGCCAACCTTGGCCGGCCCGTCATGGGCAACCGGGGCCTGGTGAGTATCTCCTCACTTCACCCACACCGTACCTGTCTGCCTCTCTGTGATGATCAAGCCTTCGAGCCGCTGTGTCTGGGCCACTGATGTCCGTGATGGAGCTGAGGATCTGAGCAAGGCAGATGGGGACACCCCAGGAGCCAGCTTGGCTGGTCCCAGAGCAAAGGGCTGAGTTTCTTCTCCCCATGTCAGCCCTCAGGGTTGGGTCCTCGCCGCTCCCAGCAGAGCCAGAGGAAGGAGCCCCGCAAAATCATTGCCACTGTGTCCCTCAATGAGGATGTCAAGTTGAACAAGGCCGAGAAGGCCTGGAAACCCAGCAGCAAGCGTGCTTCCGAGGAGGAAGATCCTGAGAACATCAAGACGCAGGTGGGAGCTGGGGCAGGTGGGCGGTGAAAGGGCAGCAGGGGGACATGCCTGGCTCTTGCTGACCCTGCTGTCCTTGCAGGAACTGCTCCGCCGTGTCCGCAGCATCCTCAACAAGCTGACGCCCCAGATGTTCCAGCAGCTGATGAAGCAGGTGATGGAGTTGTCCATCGACACGGAGGAGCGGCTCAAGGGTGTCATCGACCTCGTCTTCGAGAAGGCCATCTCGGAGCCAAACTTCTCTGTTGCCTATGCTAACATGTGCCGTTGCCTTATGGGGGTGAGCAGGAGCTGGGGAGGGTCTCCCACTGAGCTGGCAGGGTTTTGTTCGGGGGCCTCAGCTGAGCTCAGCAGGGTGCAGGTCCTTCTGTGTGGGGTGGCAAAACTGGGGTGTATGGATGGAGGACCAAGTCCAGAGTCTTAGCAGGGTATCACAAAGGTGTAGGGCGGCTTTTATGTGGTTTGAGCAGTGCCTGGGCCTTAGCTGGCCAGCTTTTGGGGAAGACACAACTCATGCTCTTTGCCTGGGTTGTACCTCTCACTGCAGCTCAAAGTGCCCACAACAGACAAGCCCACGGTGACTGTGAACTTCCGCAAGCTGCTGCTAAACCGCTGCCAGAAGGAGTTTGAGAAGGACAAAGACGATGATGAGATCTTTGAGAAGCGGCAGAAGGAGATGGATGATGCCAGTGCTGTGAGTTGGGGTGGGAGGCTGCAGCTGAGGGCTGGCATGGGTGCTCTCGGGGCAGCTCTGGACTCTGACCTGCCCTGTTGTGCCCTCCCTGCAGCCTGAGGAGAAGGCACGCATGAAGGATGAGCTGGAGGAGGCGCGGGACAAGGCCCGCCGGCGATCCCTGGGCAACATCAAGTTCATCGGAGAGCTCTTCAAACTGAAGATGTTGACGGAGGCCATCATGCACGACTGTGTGGTGAAGCTGCTCAAAAACCATGATGAGGAGTCTCTTGAGTGCCTTTGCCGCCTGCTTACCACCATTGGCAAGGACTTGGACTTTGAGAAGGCCAAGGTATCCCTTGCCCTGCCCTGCCTTGCCTTGCCCTGCCCTTGCCTTTGGGAGGGATGTGACTGACCGTGACTCTGTCCCTCTATAGCCCAGGATGGACCAGTACTTCAATCAGATGGAGAAGATCATCAAAGAGAAGAAGACATCATCCCGAATCCGTTTCATGTTGCAGGATGTGATCGACCTCAGACGGGTAAGGCATGTGGCCTGCTATTGCCTGGGGACTGTCCTCTGTCCCCTGCTTGGTCCCATGGAGCTGCTGGTCTGTGTCCTCTGAGTGCCAGCAGTCCGTGTGTCTCTGGGAGGGGAGAGATGGGTATGTAAGCTGTGGCCAGCCCCAGAGACACCATGCTAGCCCCCAGCCCTTGGTTAGCATGGTAGTGATAGTGGGCACACAGTAACTGGCGGCTGTTTAATGCAGGGGGGCTCTGGAAACTGAGCCCTTTTGTGCCAAAAGCTGCCACAGCACACAGGGAGCTGTGATGGCTGAGGCAGGAGACCGGCCTGAGGCTTTGAGGGTGGGATGGCTGGGAAGGGGGAATGCCTCAGCCTCCATCCTCCAGTCAGCTCAGTGCCCTCTTCCCTCCTTCCCTGCCCTCTGCAGAATAGCTGGGTGCCGCGGCGAGGAGACCAGGGCCCCAAAACCATAGACCAGATCCACAAGGAAGCAGAGATGGAGGAGCATCGGGAACACATCAAAGTGCAGCAGCTCATGTCGAAGGACAAGAGGAGAGGACCCCCCGGGCCATCCTCCAGCAGTGAGTACCCAGGCTCGGGGGCACCTGAGGCTGCCAGGAGTGGGTTGCTCCCACTGGGCACTGCTTGAGGCTGGACTATGCCTTATGTCTGTCTCCCTTGTGCCCAGGTGGGCGCGGGAGCCTGGTTGCAGATGATGGCTGGAACACGGTGCCCATCAGCAAGGGCAACCGGCCCATTGACACCAGCAGGCTAACAAAGATCACCAAGGTGAGGCTTGGGGTGCAGTGTGGGCAGCTGAGCCAACTGCCTGGCCCAGATCCTGCCTTGGTGTGGGGTTCAGATCTGACTCTGTCTCTCTACCTGCAGCCTGGATCCATTGACTCCAACAACCAGCTCTTTGCACCAGGTGGGCGGCTGAGCTGGGGCAAAGGCAGCAGCGGAGGGTCTGGCGCGAAGCCTGCAGATTCAGGTAGGCAGTGTGGGGCTGGCTGGGCGCTGTTGGATGAGGTGGGAGGGGGGGATCCTTCCCCCAGTGGTTCCTGTACCCGGGGAGGTGCCGAACTCTGAGACTCCCCTCTTTTCACGCCCAGCATCTGATTCAGGGCGGCCAGCCACAAGCACCTTGAACCGCTTCTCAGCACTCCAGCAGTCGACCCCTGCCGAGAGCCTGGAGTCCCGCCGCGTGGTGCAGAGGTGAGGGGCCAGCCTTGCCTTGGTGTGTGCGTGTGTTGGTCTGCAGCCAGGGAGGAGCCCTCTGAATCGGGCAGTGGTTGGTCAATATGTAGGCAAACGTATGGCGTCTGGGCTGGAATAATCCCCTGTGGCAGGGTGGAGCTCAGAGTTGGTAGTGAGTCCTTGCAGGAAAGAAGGCTGACCCCACCCTGGGCTTCCTCCCCATTGTTCGGCAGTTGGGGGACCACACCTGGGTGCTGGGTCCAACCTGGGGGTCCTGGGACCAGATGGACATTGGTGGGCTGGAGGGAGTCCCATGGAGGCTGAGGCACGAGGTCCCCAGGGAGAGTTGGAGTTGGGTTTGTTCAGGAGAAGAAGAAAACAATGGGGAACTCGCCACAGTCTGCAGCAGGGGGAAGGTGTGGGCAGCATGGGGCCAGGCTCTGCTCAGCCGTGCCAAGGGACAGACTGAAAGGCAAAGGACATGAGTTGGAATAGGGGAGAAACAGGGAAAAATGTTTTCCCCTGAGGGTGGTCAAGTGCTAGAAGAGACCCTGGAAAGGGCTGGGATTGGAGTGAGACAACCTTGCCTCGCAGAACTCTGCAGTCTGGGGTCAGGGAGAGTGGCGATGGGGTCTTCATACTGTGTCTGTCCTTCTCCCACCCAGGAGCAGCTCCAGCCGTGACAGGTCAGAGAAGGCTGGGGACAGAGGGGACCGGGAGTCACGTTCGGAGAAGGGCAGCGACCGCCTGGAGCGTCCTGACCGGGGCGAGCGGGCAGACAGGAACAGATCTGCCCTCACCAAGAGGAGTTTCAGCAAAGAGACAGAGGACAGGAGCCGAGAACGGGAGAAGCAGGGTGGCCCCGAGGCCGTGCGCAAGGCTGCTAGCATGACAGAGGAACGGGACAGGAGCCGAGAGACCAGTGAGCTGGGGAGAAGCGGTGTCCTGGGGGTCTGGCTGCAGCCTGGGGCTCTGCCTGTCCCAGGTGGTGCCTGATCCTTGCTCTCTCCTCGCAGTTAAGCAAGAGCCAGCACCTCCCGCAGCATCCCCCAAGCCTGCGCTGTCGGAAGAGGAGCTGGAGAAGAAATCCAAGGCGATCATAGAGGAATACCTGCACATCAATGACATGAAGGTGAGGAGGGGGTGGCCAGGCACGGCTCCATATGACCCCTGTAACACACCATCCGCTTCCCTGGGCGGTAGTAGTGTTGGGCAGGGTGCCGGCAGTGCCTGAATGAGGAAGGTGGGGGGGAGCCACAGCTGGCTCTGGGGCAGTACTGACCCCCGCCTTTTTCCCCGCAGGAGGCCCTGCAGTGCGTGCAGGAGCTGGGCAGCCCCTCCTCGCTCTACATCTTTGTGCAGAACGGCATCGAGTCCACGCTGGAGAGGAGCACCATCTCCCGCGAGCACATGGGGGTCCTACTGTGCCAGCTGGTGAAGGCGGGCACACTCTCCAAGGAGCAGTACTACAAAGGGTGAGGGGCTGGGGCAGCCTGGCCCTGACCTGATATTTGCCTGGCTTTGAATTTGGCCTTGCCTTGAGCAGGGCTCATCACTTGAGGCCTCCTGAGGTCCCTCCCAGCCGAGGGCATGGGGGCTGCTGGATCCCAACGGCCCCCCTCTGCCCTGCAGGCTGCGGGAGATCCTGGAGATCGCGGAAGACATGGAGATTGACATCCCGCACATATGGCTATACCTGGCTGAGCTCATCACCCCCATCCTGCAAGAGGAAGGTATCCCCATGGAGGAGCTGTTCAGGTGAGGGCTGTGCCCCTCCGCGGGGCTGCCACAGGGTCCCATGGGGGGCTCCTGGGGGCAGGTAGCTCAACCAGGTCTCTTGTGCCCCACAGGGAGATAACGAAGCCCCTGTTGCCTATTGGGAAGGCCACCACGCTGCTGGTTGAGGTGCTGGGCTTGTTATGCAAGGGCATGGTAAGTGCATGGGGCTTGCGTAGCTGCTTACTGCCGCCTCCAGGACTGGCAGCCTGTTTGGGGGGGGGCAGCTTGCCATGCGGGGACTGAGCCCCTCTGCCACCAGAGGGGACGGCAGGGGGCATCCCTTGCTGTGTCTGGGTCATGGGGGTGGCATGGTCAAGCTGTGGTATCCCCCCTCCTGGAGATGGAGGGCACGGGGTGCTGGTGTTGACTGTCTGTCTGGCCTGCAGAGCCAGAAGACTGCAGGCAAGCTGTGGCGGGATGGGGGCCTGAGCTGGAAGGAATTCCTGCCTGAGGACCAGGATGTCAACAAATTTGTCACAGAGCAGGTGGGAGCTCAGCATTGGCGAGGGGCAGAGACGGGCCGTGGGGCAACCCTCGGTGGTCCTGCTGCCAGGAGCGTGGTGTTCCCCCATGCTGCCTTTAACAGCTTGTCTCTGCCCGCTCCCCCAGAAATTGGAGTACACGATGGGGGACAGCTCAGACACACCAAGCCGCAAGGAGCTGACCTCAGAGGAGCTGTGCAAGCAATTGGACAAACTGTTGAAGGAGAACCCAAACAACCAAAGAATATATGACTGGATCGAGGTGAGGGTGTGGGCGCAGCGCCCACGGGTCTGGGGCCTCCCTCCTGACTCCCTCCCCACCTCACAGCCCCTCTACCCTCCTTCCTCCAGGCCAACCTGAGCGAGCAGCAGGTCTCGTCCAACACATTTATCAGGGCCCTGATGACATCCGTGTGCCACTCGGCCATTGTCTGTGAGTACAAGGGTGAGGCGGGGGGGGGTGTCCCCCTGCCCATGCTGCCCCCCTCTCACGCCCTGTCTCCTGCAGTCGAGAACCCCTACCGCCTGGACGCCGTGGTCATCCGCAACCAAGCCAAGCTGCTGCAGAAGTACCTGCGGGATGAGCAGAAGGAGCTCCAGGCGCTCTACGCCCTGCAAGCCTTGGTGGTGAAGTTGGACCAGCCTCCCAGTGAGTGTTGCGGGACGGGTGGGCCGAGGAGGGGGGGTGGCAGCCATGTCCCCACCCCAGCAGGGTGGCTGGTGGCTGGGCAATGGCAGGGGCCCCGCTTTGTCCTCTCCCCTAGACCTGCTGCGGATGTTCTTTGACGCCCTCTACGACGAGGATGTCATCAAGGAGGAGGCTTTCTACAAGTGGGAGTCCAGCAAGGACCCGGCCGAGCAGCAGGGCAAAGGGGTGGCTCTCAAATCGGTGACAGCCTTTTTCACCTGGCTCCGGGAAGCCGAGGATGAGTCGGACAACAACTGAGCAACCGTGAGGAGGAGGAAGTGGGGAGAGAGAGCGGGGCACCCTGGGGAGTGACTCCATCCCCTCCCGCCCCCGGCCCCCCTGGACTTGCTGATGCCAGGGCCGAGGGACCTGCTGTGCCCCCCACAGCCCCCCTCTTTCTTTTCAGTTCTCCTCCTCTCCCTCCTCCCCCTGTCCCAGTTCTGTTTGCAAGGCCTGTACTAGTTTGTCACGATGATAATAAACGGATGCTGATGGAGGCGGCTGTTGCCGTGGGTCCCCTCAGGGCCCCTCCTCTCCCCCCTCCCAGCACAGGCACACCGGGTCTCCAGGAGCGGGGCAGAGCACCCCCAGACTCATGTCATGGGGAGGGGGGATGGGATGGGGACATATCTCTCCCCTCCTCTCCCCCCTCCTCTTCTTCCTCCCCACTTCTTGCTGAAATATAGAGAGATTATATATATATAAACTTATTAAATTTGGTTTGGGGACAGGAGCGTGATTTCTCCCCCTCCCCTGTCCTCTCTCTATTCCTCCATCACTGCCTGGACCCCCCCTCTATGGTTTTTTATTTTAAATATAAATCATTCCCCCCCAGCTCCTGCTCTGACACCTGGGGAGGGTGCCGGGGAGGAGGGGGGGTGACCCCTTCTCTCTGGGCCAGGCTGAGTCCCCGTCCCCCCTCAAAGCCCCCATCCTCCTCCCAAACGTTTAAGGCCACAATTGGGCAAGCGACGGGGCGGCCCCCCATCCGCGTCCCCTGTATTTATAGAGCGCCGGATGTGACGAGCCGCACGTGTAATTATTAAAACAAGGATTCAATTACTGGTCACGTGAATTTGTAAATAATTTTTTTTTTTGCTTTTTTTTTTCTTTATGGAGTATTTAATTGAAGATTTAAAGGCATCTTTTCACCTTAAAACTGGAAATAAAAGAACATTGCTAAATAATGCCCCGTGTGCCGCTGTTGCCGCCCCTTATCCCATGTCCTTTGCGCCTGGGCTGGCGTGGGGTGCCAGCCTAGAGCCCAGGCAGGGGCCAGCCCTCCCCTGGCACCCCAAGGCAGATGGTAGGTAGCCCTCCACCCCTGGGCTGGGAGGGTGGCAAGGGGGTCAGATGTGCCTCCAGCCAGGCCCTCTGCGCCCCCCCTCGCCAGCTCTGCCTGGCCCAGAGTGTCCTGTGGGGGAGTGTGCAGCCCTGCCAGCACCCTGGCTACGGAGCAGAGCCCCAACATCCCCAAATGTTCCTTTTCCCACGGGCACAGAAGTGGCAGGACCTGTGTGGTCTCCTCGGGCTCTGCCTTGGGGCAGGAGATATGGGCCGGGCTCCCCCCCCACACCTTCTCTTTTAGGGGGGGATTTTTCTCTTGGCACCCTCCTGCCTTGTCTTGCAGGTGGGGTGGAGGTTGGGTGAGGCTGAGCTGCCCCTGGCCCTGCCTGGGTCTCCGATGGGGTGTCCCTGTTGGGGACGGAGGCTGGTCCCCCTCAGGGCTGGTCTGGTCTTTGGTGCTTTGGGCTGACTCTTGCTGAGTCACCCTGGCCATGGCCCAGAGGGTACAGAATAATTAACCAGAGGCTGTTCCCCAGATTAGAGGCTGATCTGTCTGAGCTGCAGCCCTGGCAGTGCTAATGCTGGGAAGCAGTTGGCAGGGAATGGCCGGCAGGGCCTGTTGGGGGGGGGACTGGCCAGGAGCTCCCCCTGCCCTGGAGTAAGTGAGTAAAGAGGAGGGAGGCCCTTTAGGCTGCTCTGGTAGTCTGCTTGCCAAGGGGGAGGGTGGCACCCTGGCAGTGCCCTTCTGTGCCAGGGAAAAGGTTCTGCAGTGTTAATTGCCATCATTAGGTTTCAGAAGGAACAGACAGCTTTGGCTGCAAGTTAACGCCTCAGCCTGGCATCAGCGCTGGCCTGGATCTTCTGCAAGGGAGGTCGCTGTGGTGCTGTCAGAGGTGATGTCCTAAAGCCTGCACCCTCCTGCCCCAAACCCAGCTCCGGCGAGGCGGGACCCCCAGCCCCATGTCAGGGGCTGTAGCTTCACTCCAGCAGCAGCACCCCCTCTGTGGGGGTGGGGGAGGCAGGGCCTGAGCCCCCCTTTGGTGGGCAGGCCTGGGGCCGTGTTGCTGGAGGGTCCCTGCCCCTTGTCCCCCTGAGGGGCTCGCTCGGGGCCCCCAGCGCCGGGCCGTGCCCCTGCCTGGGGGGGGACCGGGACCGGGGCCGGGG